CCTATCCCACTCTCCATTTTACTTGCTGCCCCCAAGACTCAGAGGCCCCTCGGGCTCTGTATGCAGGCCAGCTGCTCCCTACCACAGTGCCCTCTGCCACCCAGTCTCAAATTTCCTCTACTTGAGTACGGAACACTCTTCCAGAAATTTGTTAAGCCATTTAACAGATGCCCCTCCCCTCCTGTCTTCTTGACTGCTGTGGGTTATATCTTTTCTTATTCCTTTAGCATCATTTTGATGGGATCTTGGGAGGAAGGGGAGAAAATGTCATGTACCCTGTCTGCCATCTTGAACCAAAAATCTAAAGTATTACAGATTTGTAGTCTTAGAAAATTGGAGACAATCTAAACATCCCTCGATAGGGAAATACTTCATTGGTGTCACATCCATTGTATGGCGTATTCTACACTCAAAACAGAATGAACGAGCTTTGTGTGGATTCATATAAGAATACCATGATATAGTGTTAAAGAAGCAAATTGCAAAAAGTGTGTGCAGTAATATCAACTTCAGAAGATATGGATTTACTTGCACTTTTCCAAAGGACTAGAAGATACCCACTGAATTGTTTAGAGTGGTTATTTATCTCTGTCTTTCCACTTGACAGCAGTGGACCAAGAATGGGGTTGATGTGAAGGAGGAATTTTATCTTTTTGCTCTGTATTGTCTGTACTGTCCAAAATTTTACAATGCTTATGGAAAAATCTTTGGGGTTACTTGTCATACAAATACAAGACATCATGTTAAAATTCTCCAATCTTTCCTATATAGAGAGCTGCTCGATTAATAAGTTAAATAAAGGATGACCCATGACATTCAATATTTAAAAAGTGGATCATTATTCTTATTGTTTAAAATGTTTAAGAAAATGTACCTAAAAGTAAAGATATTGCCAGTTTATTTTTAAAAGCTTACAGACTTTAGAAAAACCCTTTCCAAGTCTAAGACTCTACAAGGATGTGACGTGTTGGTACGCAGACACGTTCTGTAGAACCAGGTTTTGGTTGGCAGGCCTCTGTGCCCGATTTCTTAACTGGTACATAATGACATTAGTAAACTGAGCTGGCTAAACTATGCCAAACTTGGATATTTCAGCTAAAATAATTTTATATCTTATTATTAAGGAAGGGGCAAGTAATATGTAAAATGTCAATCATTCTAATACAATTAGATTAAACTTGTTATTTCCAAAGAGAGCTGTTCTGAATAACTTATGTGCAAAAGGAAAATGCATAGCTTACCACAGATATAGGGGTTCCAAAGTCTTTTTCATTAAAAAAAATCTAGGAATCTATAAACCGCCAACTAGACTATCTTTTAGAGCATGTGAACAAATTCCAATTAACCATGCCATTGAAAAGTGGAGTTCAATTCTGTAGCATTTCATTGGTTTCTAACCTAAAATGAGGCAAACATCCTATCTCCTGAAATCCGTGCACCATTCAATGTCATGGTTTCTCCAGCTTTGCTCAGAGAAACACAAAATACTGAGCTGGCTTGTCTTCCCTGCTCTGTGCGGCCCAGTCCCTCTGTGGGTTATGGCAGGGCCGGAGCACAGTCCTTCAGAACCTGAGTCCAGCAGGTCCAGTTATTGATGGCCAAGCCAAATGAAACTATAAATTACCACTTACCTATTAGCCAAAGTTTTGGTGTACATGTTTCCTTCTGCTATGTATATTTTGATGTTTAAATTTCAATTTTCATAGCCTAAGTCTCTAACTGCATCTTTAGTAACTAACCCACCAAATCTCTTTTTTCTTTTGAAGCAAACAAAATAAGGAATGCCCAGTTTTAAGTTTCAGAGATGACCATGGATGTACAACTGCTTGGAGACTAAGTGCCATATATTCATATCACATGACTACTGTTATTAACCAGGTGAGTGGCTTAGGCTCATTTACATACCGAGGGTTAAAAAAACCCTTTTCAAATGAGGTGATTAGAACCATCCTCTCCAGCACAAGACAAGTTCTTCTGTTTTTACAGAAATCTACTTTTCACCCCTATCAAGCTTAGAGAGCCACTCATTAAAAAATACAGATTGTTTCACAGGGGAGTTTTGGTTTGTATCGCAAATAACTAAAGGTGACTCAGGAAAACAATAAGGTAACTGAGAAACAAGTTAAAGTTGTACATTTTTAGAAAGCCATGGTGCAAATTTGAGCTATTCATTTCTTCTATATTGCCCATTCTGCAGGACGAATGTACGCAAACAGCCAAATAAATTACATGAACCAAGTTAAATTTTATACAAATACAGTTTACATAGCCAGAAATTGCAAGGTAAGAAAACCCAACTTTCATCATTACCTGGAATATTGTGGGGAAACCCACCACTTATATGTAAAAAATGTTTCAATGTTTGGAATTGTGTAATGTAAAGAATAGTTACTGGGCAGTTCAAAGACAGCCAGGCAGACCTGTGCTCTAATGGCTTACATATATAATCTTAAGCAATCTTAACGCAATTTTAACTTTTACGATACACAGGTTTCACAGGACAGAAGGTGTCCTGTACGATACACAGGACAGAAGGACAGTTGGATAGGTACAGAGAATACCTGTGATGGGAAAAGGACCATCCCAACCCCTGTGCACCTTAAAAGGGTGAATTTTATTGGGTGTGAATTATATCTCAATAAAAACCAGAGTTAAAAAGAGTATCCCAGGTGATGCGTATGTCCCACAGGCAGAATCTCCTGTTCGCCACACCAGGCCTTCCCTTCACTATATAGAGCTTGCTCTGCATTTCTGCTCTTTTTCCTTTGCCCATGTGACCTCATGTAATATTTCCATAGACGCTGAATTTCTCATTTCCTTCCCACCCCCACATCATGGGCATAGGAAGTTTAACTCAACTTTCTTTCTCTCTTTTTTAAAATTTTTTTAATAAATTGTTGTTCAAGTACAGTTTTCTGCGTTTCCCCCCCCACCCCAGCCCACCCCCCTAGCCCTCCCCACCTCCCTCCTGTTTCCATCCCCCCCTGTTATCGTCCATGTGTCCTTTGTAATTGATCCTGCAAACTCCTCACCCTTTCCCCCTGAAAGTCCCTCCCCTCTCCCCTCTGGTCACTGTCAGCCTGTTCTCAATTTCAGTGTCTTTGGTTATATTTTCCTCACTTTCTGAATCACCCTGCCATTCACTTGGAGTACTTTCATTCTCCTGTCTCAACACCTTCTTCCGGGGGAGATGGAATTTGTTGATATCATAAAGCTTTGACTACTATTCTCTGAGACAAAAAGAAAGCGAGTGAATATTTGTCAAATGCTAACAAACGCCAGGGGCTCTGCTGGGTCCTGAATATCTGTTGTCCTATTGCTTCTCATCACTTAAAAGGTCAGGATTCTCATTCCATACACTAGATGGAGACAATGAGCAGTTTCCACTCAGACATCCAGTGGACATTCACCCAGGACATGGTTCGGAGGGCACAGCTTTAAAAATCACTTATTGAATAGGACTAGTTCAAGTCAAGGAAAACTTACTACAATATAACACAAAGCTTATAAAAAGTGGCACTGTTTGTTGGAGCATTTGAACACAATGACACTTCAAATAATCCCCTAAAGAACCCTTCCCATTCTAGGAGACTGGATGTTTATGGAGACGTGAGCTAATAGTACAAAAGAAAGGAGGAAACTCACAAAGACTATTTTTTGCAACTAAAAACAACACACAAATGATTCAGTGGGAACCTATAGGCTTATTGCCACATTGAAGGCTCCAGGGTTTGCCAGAGCCGATGACATGGCTTTCCAGATCGACTGGGCTTGTCCCAGAGTTCCATCTGCCATCCCTTCCTCTTCCTCCCAGTAAAACTAAGTGAGGCTAATTCCGATTGCATTTGACTGGGCGGAGAAAGAACTGCTGCAGTACCTGGAGTTCTCGGTGATCTCGATACTCGAAATTTGCCAAGTGAAGGATCTCTCAGCTGCTGCAGCCATGGACTGCGGCATGGCTGGTGCTCTTCTGGAAGGACTCGGCTCTGAGAACTGCTCCTGGGCCTTGTCTCCTGGTACACCGTCATGCTTGGACAGAGACTGCCTGGGTTCAGATCCCAGCGCTCCCTCTTCCTTGCTGAGTATCTCCCTGTGCCTGCTTCCCTCTCTATAAAATGCAGATGGGAACAGCTCCTATCCCTTAAGGCTGTCGAGTGTTCAATGCCTGGCACGAGTCTGTGCTATTTATTTATGTATATATGTATTTATGTTTATTTTTTTATTGTTTTCAAGTATAATTGTCTCCATTTTTAATTCCTGTGAAATAAGTAATTAAAAATAAAACCGATATTGTTTATTAAAAGACTTTAAAAAATTGCTTTCCTTATAGTATTTTGTTAACTGACTTGTACATGCTGACTTGAATTAGAAAGTGGTAAAAATTAATTCGCAAGACCTCAATTGTTTTGCATAAAATGCAATCAGCCAGAAACTTAGAAATCCACAAAGATTTCCTTTTGCAGGAAAATAGGTTAAAGTGGCCTCTCATTATTGACAATATTGGTCAACATGATTGCTGAGTGTCTCTACAGTTATTCAGGAGATACGAGCATACTGCTGCCCCAGGCAGATGAAGGAGAAAGAAGAGAAGCATGGCTTTTGCTTTAGACGCCCAAGGAGTGAAGGTCCCCATAGGATCATCGACTGCCCTGGCCACCTCACAGTCCCCAGAACAAAGACTGACAGATTTCATCTTTTCAAAGACCTTCCCCTGTCTCACAGAGGCAATTTAGCCTGCTATGGAATTCATAACCATGTTTCTCTTGGAAAGAAAAAAAGCATGGTTTACTTGTGTAAATATTAAACATTACTTGCAATGAGGATTTTTTAAACGTTCGCCACCCAAGCAGCTCATTGCAAGTGGAAGGCAGTGCTCTGTCATTCCCGGTGACCTCCTGTGTCTGAGGACCTTTGCACATTGCTGTGCCCACCTCACCATCCTGGAGGAAATACGGCACTGGAGTGATGGACGGTTTCCTCCCGAAAAAGACCAAGCTTACCCAAGTAGTTGTTGCTCTTGTGCATCTCGGTGATGTTGATTTTTGTGGCTCCTTGGGGAATCTCAACCACGCGGTGGTAGCCCAGGCTGGTGAGGGCGTGTTTGAACACGCCCGACACAACCTGACAGCCCGTGTTATCGCCTCCACACACCCCGCACTTGTCCACTACTTTGTCCGAGCCTAGGTAGTCGTCACAGCCGATGCTCTGCAAAGAGGTGGAAAACAGAAGACTCTTGTAGCATCTATCAGGGGCAGCCGGGGGAGGGGGGAGAGGGCTGGACATCTAGTGGTGGGACTTGGACTGACCCTCCTCTCGCCCCATTCAATTCCTGCAGATGAGAAGTTCATGTCTCCCTTCACTCAACCGGTATTCACGGAGCACCCACTCTGGGCAAGGACATCGTGCGAAATGTACATTCTAGGGGGTGGGTGGGGACACAGACAGGAAACAAGACAAGTAAAAAAAAATAGTGTGTTTGGTGGTGGTAAGTGAGCAGAAGAATAATGCAGGAAAACGGGACAGGGAGCACGTAGGGTACAAATACTCATCAAACAGGTTGGACAGAGATGTTGTTCCGAACACCCACCCTCTGTTGGACTCGAACAGGGAAGAGGCTGGGCCGTGTTAGGGTTTTTATACAAGGAAGTTCTTTGGGACCATGACAAGTGCTATACCTAAAACTAGGGTTTGTCTTCAAGTCTCCTGTTCTAAATGACTTGATTCTACAAACACTTAGAGAAGTACCCCCAGAAGGCATGTTCTCAGGCCCAGTTTCCTAGGAAATTAAGGTAATTTGGTTGAGATCTGGGCCCCCACTTGTCGCCGTGGCTCCGAGGAGCTAAGCACCAGAACTTCTGCTTGGCTCCCCAAAGCACTTCCCCAGGGCAGCGAGCGCAGGGAAGAAGGGCCAGAAGCATCGGCAAACCGGATGACACACGTCTAAATAAGGGGCACACAAGGAGAGTATAGGCGGTCTCGTCGGCCTTTAAAGGAACTCTGACTTCCCTGCATTTCATCCCCCAAAGGCTCTCCCATTTCTCATTCCAAGATCTTTTTGCTTTATCTGCCCCCTCCCCATTCATGGTTCCGTGAGGCAGTTTTATTTTGCATTAAAAAGTTAAACCTTGGATCGGAATAGAATGGTCTTCATGGAATCCTTTTCCACTCCTGGAATTGATGCTCCTGAACCCGCAACAGGGACACATGACCTGAGCAAAGAACCCTGTCACCTTCCCCAGGAGATGGAGTCGGTGGATTGTACTCTGGACAATGCAATACTTGGTGATAGAATTATTTCACTGAGGAGCGGGACTAAAGAATGATACTTGAAATCAGAATGAAATTCTAAAACTTGAGACACATGTTTGCTGAATACAGGTTTGTATTGGTTTTTGAATTCTAATAATCAGACCTTGTCTCGGGGGGCAAAGTGGTCAACAAACCATTCCGAGTCCACTTCGGACTTTGTTAAACAACCCTGGGTCTGTGCACCTGGGTCCTATGGGTCAAGCTGAACAGGCAGAGTCTAGGCAGGTGTTCATTCTTTCCCCTCCAATTCACGTTTGATTGACACCTTTCCACAGGCACCACGGGTCTGCATTATTATTTCCATATTCTGAGTGCACATTAGTCCATCAGTAACCACTGATCTCTCTTCACAAATACCTTCTCTGCAAAACATTATTTCTGACAATAACAGAACATTATCTCAATACATTCATCCGCATCCAATTAACTTTTCAAAATGCCATGTTTGCTCGAATAGTTCTTGCCCCTGCCCCATGCATATTTTAGCAGAAGTTTTTTAAAAAAGGTTTTGTGTGCATGATTTCCACCTCCTCAACTCTTCAGTTCTCCTTTGCTTTGAAACAAAAACATGCCACCACCAACAGAGATTTTGGAAAGTAGGTCTCATGTTGCTGAAGCAAGATCCTACCAGAATTAAGGAGATGCCTCTGCCTGTCACTGATGGGCAACGGTGACAGAAAGGCTGGTCAGCACCCCCCTCTCCCTGTTTAGTAACATCTCACCCTCCCACTTTTCCCACCGAGGGTCCATTCCTGATACCCCCGACTTGCCTGCCCACTTGCCTGTCCCAGACCGAGCTCATTCTCACGGGGCACTCCAAGTAAAGGGAATAAAGTGCATGGGGGCACAGAGGTAAGAATGAACACTTAGAAAGTAAGAAGTAGGAAAGACTGACATGCCATTGCTGGGAGGGATGAAATGAGGCTTCAGCATTCAGCTGAATTTGTCAAGCATCTAGTTCGCCAGGGTGAAGTGTAGGGATTTTGCCCGATGGGATCTGCAGTCACTGGATGTCTGAAGAAGGGGAGGGCAATGCTCAGATTCGTTTTTCAGTTTATAACTTGGGCTGAAGCATGGGCGTGTCCTTGAGTGGGGAGGGCCAGCAGTCTAGTGAGTTTCTCTCTTGTGAACAGGGCTTGGGGATATTTCAAGAGTGAATGAGGGCCGCTGAGGATGAGGCAGACATTGCATGCAACTGTCAGCCCTTAACCCAGTTTGGATGGGATGAGCGCAAGGAAATCATGCCACCATGGGTTGCTTCAGACACCCACAGACACACACACAGCGGCATTTTATCTTGTGAAGCAGACATTCTGTTCAAATGTTCTGCACAGTGCAACGGATGCCCGCCCTTGCACCAGACTTCCTGCGCAGCATGGCCACTCTGGGTGAATCTCAACACAGAGATGGAGGGCAGCAGTGCTTCCTGGAAGATGTCCTGTAGCCCGAGGTTGGCTTCAGGGAAATGTATGGCCACATGTGATGCCAAGTACTAAAGGGGTGACCTCCTGTCTCCTCGGGGCCTGGCTCTGGATTCTGAATGTGCAATGTTCACTCCTCAGGAGAAAAATCAGAGCAAGGAGTGTGGGAACCTTCCCTGGGGGAGACAATGGCTGACAGAGTATCCTTCCAGTGTTGTATGGGTTACCCAGGGTCTTCGGGAGATTGGGTTGCCATGGAGTTGCCAAATGCCCTCTGTGCACTTCACAAAGCAGGAAGGACAACTTGGGCTCCTCAGTGAGAACTGGGTAGACAACATACATTCAAGACCTTTATTTTTAGACAATTGCATACCTGACCACTGACCTTTCTCCAGCACGGGGCTCTTGTGAGGATCAGGTGATGCAAAGAGGGAAAGTTTGGATTGCGTGTCCCAGCACGGCATGGCTGAAGAAGTGACCGATGGGCCAGGACCTGAATGACAAGAAGGACCAGCCAAGGAGGATCTAAACTTGCAAACGTGCATTTTCATCACTGATGTGGCTGAGTGACTACATCAGGCAGGTGGGCCAGGAAATCCCAGGCTGAATCAGATTCCAGTTCTGCCTTTGCAAATGCAGGTCTAACTGGGATAATGAGACAGATATATGGACTCATCAGGCAAGAGAAGTCCTGCGTTCTCTAAGTCACGCCGGGCCAGGGTCAACTCTCTTTTAGGAAGTTGTTAATTAGCAACTGGGTACATACAGTCTCGAGAGTGTTGCGACATCCGAGCCTAAACTAGAAAAATGGTGATGGAGTGAAGAGGAGCTGAGGGATGCTTAGTAAGCAAAGTGGACAGGCCTTTGTGACCGACTGGCTGGAGAAGAAGGAGTCTGAATCCTCCTCAGCACCATCATATCCACATTCACAGTCCTTTGAACATATATTTTTCTCATTTGACCTTGAAGGCAATCTGTGATAGTTTTAAAACTTGTAGGAAAGAAATTAGGTAATTGGCCCAAGGCCAATGCTTGCTGACAAGAGCTGCAGCGGAGATTCTAACTGTAATCCCACGCTTTCACCATGATGTAAAAATCCCTCCTCTGACCAAGGCTCAGAGGCCACACTGCAGCTTCTAGCTCCGTTGAAGGAGAAGATAGTGGCAGTGACCTGAGTGCAGAGGAAGAAATTCAAGCACTGTTACTACAGTCCCAGTGAGAGCCGGCCCACGTGTGACTGGCATTCTCCCCTTTCAACATTACGAAGCACCAATCATATACATATCTCCTGCCCATGGCCTGCTTTAGCTCTACATGCTACATACAGTGGGTGATTAAATATTTTTAGCTTATCTTCCTATTATATTAATATATAGTCATAAATTTTTTTAATTTTGATATAGTTTATGACTCACAAAAAGTTGCAAAAATAGGAGTGTTTCAATGACCCTTTTACCCAGCCTCCTGCAATTACAATACCTCATATCAGCACACCACATCATTAAAACCATATATATGTGTGTGTATATATATTCCGTTGCCATCAATCCTTACTTTGATTTTACCACTTTTTCTTGGTGTGCAGTTCTATAAAATTTTATTGCATGTCTAGATTCCTGTACTAGGTTACTTTAAAGCAGCTGGTGTTCTCCAGAACGCAGCCGTGTAATTGATAAGTGGAGCTGACGTCAGTTAGCGGGAGAAGCGGTTGGCAGGATAGAAAGGACGTTGGACTGGGAATCAGAAAACCTGGGTGTAGCCCTGGCTCGGTCCCTCACTGGCTGTGTGAGGCTGGTGGGTCACTTCTCTGTAGGGCTGGAGCTGGAAACATTTTCACCACACCCAGATCTTGGAGGGGATAGTGCCCAGAAGTGAATCCAGCCCGAATTCTGGTTTGTATCTCAGGACACCGCTCAGTTGATTTCTGATGGGTATGACTTAACAGTGCTGGCCTATGTCCCCAAACTCTCTCAGAGTCACCACTGAAGTGCCATCAGTGGGTCCTTAAGGTGGCACTAGCCTCTGCTGGACCTGGGTCACGTGCTGGCTCTGCCACTTGGGGGCGCTGTACGTATGATTGTGTTCGCTGGGCATTCTAAGCCTCGGTTTCTTCATCTCTGGCTGGGGATAATACAGCATCTACCTCCGAGGGCTGTTGGCAGAATCAGATGAGATAAGCACAGCAGGCACTCAGCAGAATGCTGTTAAAGGGGGCTTCATGGAAAACTCGGTTGTTATTTTTATCACTGACTCCATATATTGGTTTCATCTGGAATCTATGTATTTTTAAGAAAACCCCATTATCATGTAGCCACTTGGACCATATTTCTATAACACTTTCTATTATTTTTTTAGTCACAGATAATCTCTTCTTCACTCAGAGAAATGTGGGGAAGTCTGAAGAGCTAAGAAAAGGCCGATGTTCAGCACGAAGGTCAGAACCTCCCGCTCCAATGGTGCCTAGTGAAAAGACAG